AAGTATGTATTTTGGCAACTCTTAATAGCTCATTCCTTGATTATCTATAGATACAGAAATTTTAATTTTATGAAACACAACTTTTTTGGTTAGGATTTTGGAATGGTGGATCAGAACAGCGGTGTGGAAATGGAAGAGGATTTCTATTGAGCTGCCTATTCGCCGTGAAGGCCAAGTGCCTTCACATCTGGTGAACTGAGAAACACTGATGTACCAAGAAAGCTTTCTGTCTGTTGTCTTCACCAGATCATATAAAGTCTGAACAAAACAGCATGCAAATTCAGGGCAGAGGATCTGACCAGAAAGGAAAGTATATGATTTATACCATGCCCATGTCAGATGAAGAGAATCATTCACTACAGCATGAAAGCTTGTTAAAAATGCAGTCAGGATAATTATATTTGTCACAAGTGCAAAACTATGCAGACTTGTGTGTCGTACCAGCACTTGTACTGTGTATGCATAGGTTTCATGGAATGCAAGCATATATCCCTCTGACTGAAATAACGTTATTCCCTCATCACCAAGAGCAAAATTATGTAAATGGCATTATAGGCGGGGGAAGCAGGAAACACACAAATATCTTCCAAAAATTTTAAAATAGTCTGTAAATTACTATGTCCCCAAGTATCACAGCCTCTGGATATTTTTTTATTGAAATACTGTATGTCCCCTACAAAATATTGAACAAAAAGACATTGAGATTTGAGATTCTACTATATATCAGGACTGGAATTTCTCATCTATAATGCACTGACTTGTGGCTGTCCTGAGAGTGACACTAGATACAAACAGTCTCAAAGGATGAGCAAAAGGGAGGGGACAAAAAACCCCAACCAAATACCTGCACATTTCAGGATACTATGGGATAAAAAAAATGAATACCTTGCTTCAGAAGTGCTTTTGCAGTGCTTTGATAGTGCCTGTTTCTGCATACTAACAGCAATCATTTAGATTATCTTTTCGTAGAAAAAAAAAAAAAATCAGGCAAGATAATACCAGTAGAAAAGTCAATGTCATTTGATCACTGCCATATTTTTAAAGCAGTGCCAAGATACTAATTAATCTCTACAATCTCTTCATTTGGTAGGTGACTTGTTACCGTCTTTTCATGGAAAAGATTACAGGAATTCAAGATAAGGGATACATCTAAATGTTCAAAAGCACACAGTGAGTTTGTTCCAGAATTATCAAAAGGATTTCCTGTCCTTTTTTAGACCAATACCCCACGTTGCTCTCCTCTTCCTCATAAAAGTTGATTGAACTATATATATATATGTATATATATATAAATACACAGAGAAACAGAGAAAGATGCAGTAATTCAATAACAGCAAAGAAGAAAAAACCCTTATTAATACCAGAATAAACACAGAGTGTAGTATTTCAGTTATTAACTGTGAAAGTAAGAAGAAACTTCTGCAGTAAAAATCAAAACAGAGCAAAATTGTGAAAGTGAAGTATGAAAATGGTAAGACTAAGGCGAGACATTGAAGGACTAACATTAAATAAGTAAATGCAACAGAGCTGCCTGCCTGATCACTTTAGAGCAGCTCCCAGAAGACTGAAGTAGAGTAGAGCTTCTGTGCAAGGGTTTGGAAATAAGAATTGATGGTAGAACAATTTCTTTACAACCCTTTGGAGACTGAAGAGCCAAAACAGGAGGGAAATGAGATCTAGGCCACTCGCGAGATAGACCAATTTAATGGAATGCACAAGACGGCCCAAAATTGAGCCCTAGATTAAATTCCAAGTTACCTTCCCCATCAAAAGAGGTCTGGAGAGGAAACAGAAATGAAGCAAGCTGTGCGTATCAAACGCAAAAAGTCTTTTGCAGTCGGCATCTGCACACACTGCCAGTCTCTAGCAATAAAATCTGCAAACCCGATGTAAAGCATGAAAATATGCACTTTAGCACATAATTCAGAACAGGCTTGGGTTTTCCGTGCAGAATTTGAAGTGTCCTTTTACCTTGACTGCTTGATACCAAAAATTTGAAGCTAAATGTCTGAACGGCTGTTTGCAATTGCACAGTAATTCGGAGGCGTGCGTTTGCACTGGTCCGTCCTAAGCACTCCAAGTAACATTGCCAGGGATTCTCCATGATGTGGGCTCATCTGCTGAGCAATAAAACTGACCTTCAGAGGTGGCCACACCATCATGGAGTGAGAATTTCAGCAGCTTCAAAAGGGACCATGTACTCAACTCTCCTAATGAGAGCAAGAGTCACAGTGGTATTTTATCAAGAAAGGCATGAAGAATTTGTACCTTTACCCCCCAAGGTTTTAGATGGACAAGAAAATAAATGGATAAAAAATTTAAAAGAAAAAGAAAAAAAACACTCTAGCAAATAATGCTGTTAAATTTTCAAGATTATAATCAAAACAGACGGGTTCTCAAAGTTTTGTTCACATATTTTCAAGTTATTAAGTATATCTGCACTATAAAATAGCTTGCTTGTTTGTTTGTTTTTAGTTTTTTTCAGTACATAGAATGCCAGTATTTTGAACAAATAAGAGAAATATTTTTATATTCAAAATGCAAGACTGCTTCAGAAAATACAGTAAACTCTAAGTGAAAATGGGGCTTCGGAGATGCCACGCATTGAGCGCAGCGGCTTAATTACTTTAAAGCAAGTCCTTCCATACCTACACAAAACAGAGTATTGCTAATGGCAGTGACAGAAAACGATAACTACTCTCGTTTCCACTTTGAGTCATTTTTCTGTGGTTAATAAATTATATCCATAACAGTGTTAATAAGTTATGGTACGGTGTCACTGCATTAGTTTGCATTTATGATGAAGCACTTCATATGGCATTACCTATACCCGTGGAAGAACATAACAGGAGAGAGCCCTTCTCTGCTCTCAGAAGAATCTCCTGTGCTGGCATTTTGATGGATCCCCTAAGGAAATGCCATCTTTTGACCTCTGCCTTGCTCTTACTTCTCACCTCTGCTGCAGGAGCATGCCATGACAGGGCAATTCAAAAACTTTAATGCCTTTAATGAAACACTGACACTCTTAAATCAGTGCCCTTTCCATAGGAATGATATACAAGGAGTTAGAGGTAAGGCAAATACAGGAAGTATTCAGATCAATTTACTCATGTGAAAAGGACACTGTCAGTGTCAGATCAACTTATCTTCCCTCAAGCTCCCAGAGGGAAACAGGAAGACTTAGACTGACTGATGGGCTCTTGATCAACTACTGTAAAAGCTTGTTTTTCCAAACATTAAAAATAAATAAATGTACTTTAAGCTTAATATGATTTGTTTTTTAAAGAAAAAAGAAAAGCAGAAGCTATTTAAATTCTTGCAACCCAACTATGGCAGCATTGCTGAAGATAGAGATGGCAAAAGTAATAAGCACCCTTTTAACAACAGAAAGAAGCTCATGGCTTTAAGAAAATTCTTTTCAAAGTAAAGAAATACAAACCAGTAAACAAACAGTTCCAAATCAGAGTTCTGTAGTGTGGAGTTTTAGTCATCTCAAGCATTAACTTGAAGAGCTGCTGTTAAGCAAGATGGTTTTTTGTCCATTAAAGTTATTACATAAAAATTCAGTATAGTTTGAAATAATTTTTTTAGAAGAATGTAATTATTGAATTGTCTCCAGTACCATGATACTTTCTACAGTAAAGCATTCCTTTTAAAAGCTTTTTCGGCTTTACGTATACATATATACAGAAATGCCTTTATGAAACACGATGTCCAAACAGAAATTAGATATTCCATCTCAATATAAATTATTTGCTTTCTATCAGCATCAAGTAAAAAGTAGCTCTATTAGATTAAAATTGAGAAAAATCCCAAGTTATCTGCAGCCTCCATAAGCCAGCAGTGCAAAAGCTCACATGCTTTTACAGTAGGTACACACAAGATAACTTTGTAGACCTATTACTGGAATGGTTTGCAACCAGTGAAGATAATTTTGATTATTTCCACTTCAAAACTTCCTATATTGGAGTCACATCACTGAAAACAATCTAACCGTAGGGGAAAAAAAGTGATGGGAAACAAGTCTGCTAATCTCTTCACTAAAATTAGACAGAGGAGCAGAGTAGTCTCACTGAGTAGATTCACTGAAGTCTTTCAGAGACAAAGACTCCAGTATTCTAAGCAAGAGAAAGAAAATCCCCATAAAAATACCTTCACTTCCTTAATTTCTCTTTTTCTCTCCCTGCCACAACTAGCATCATTTATTTGTATACTTAATTCGTCTCCACTGTGCCACAATGAAATACATTTTAAAATTTAAAAGGTAAAAAAAAATGCCATGTTCCCACCACAGCATCATTGGACACCATACTGCATAGAAAAATGAGTCGTGCCTTTGCAGCAATTTGACAAGAGAAGAACAAAAAGAATGGAAAAAATAGAACAATACGGCTAAGGCTTGAGGAACGCATCAGTTCAATATTTAGCAATGCATAAATTGAGGTTTCATTTTTGCTTAGGTATATTTTGATTAAAACTAATAAATGACTGATTTTCCTTTGGTTCTTTGCAACAACAACATATCACCCAAAGAGCTTTATTCTTTATTCCCTTCTCAAATAGCATGCCAAAGACTGTCTCAGTTTACGAATTAGCATTTAAAACTACTGTAGGTTATCTAACAAGCATTCAGATTCAATAGTACTTTTGACAGCAGTAAGTAAAGAGCCTTTTAACATCTTGAACACATGTGCTTGAAAAAAGTAGTTGCATCAAAGCAGTTCAAAGACTGCAGACAAAAACCAGTTAAAATCCAGTTTGCTGTGAGATGATTTTAGTGTGGTGTAAACAACCTTTCACGACTCCCCATGGGAAATGTTGTAAGACTATGTTCAAAATGAATCAGGCATATTTATAAAGATCATGAAGTGGTCAAATGCATTTGCATTTTTGGCAGATCCACTCCACGTGTTCTACTCGCTACAGTCTGTAGAAATCTCAAATCTCACATCAGCGTTGCCTATAGTGCTTTATTATTTATTACATGTTATGCTAAGTACCTGCGAAAGGGGACATTCCTTGGCCAATGAACTCTGGTTCATATCCTTCAGTAAGTCCTTCAGAGCATTTCTTACTGTTGTGTGAGACCATTGTTCAGGAGGCAAGTCTTCTAGTTTAGGGCAACTATTTGAAACACAGATTAGAAAAGGGATTATTAGAAGATTGCATCCTGCTGCAGAACATTCCTTTAAGACAGACAGATTTCATTTTGCGCATCAAGCAGATGCATCTGGAGATTGCTCTCGGTCTCCTGATTGTTCCGATTAGTTAATTACTTTATACAACACATCTGCTGTATTGATGCATGAATTATACATCAGCTGCATGTGGCGACTATTTTTTCATGTTACTTCTACCTTCCTGCTCTGATGCGCTTGGTAAAACAATTTAAGGTGTAATGCTTTCTCACGACTGATCATGAAAAGCATTAATATATTAACCGTTTTTTCTTTTTTGTTGCCGTGAAATTTAAGAACCTAGACAGCAACAATAAGTGTGAGCAAGTCATTCTTTTACAGAATGCACACAGATGGTACTGTTCATGATATGCAAAAATATTTTTCTCTTAAGTAAACTTTATGTAAAATGCCTTCTTGTAATGCATCATTTAATTGACTAAAATGCAATATAGTTTTAATGAGATATCCAAAGAAAATCTATGTATCAGAGCTATAAAAGTTTTCTGCAATAGTATACTGTAAGTTAAAGAAGAATTAGAGTAACTAAAAAGGAATTTAGGCAAGCCTTTGTACTTTGAGCACAAAGCACAGTGGGAATTAAATACAAGCAATATTAACAGTTAAGAGCAGACAAGTAACAGTTCATGTCCCAGAACTGGTACATGACTTACCTGTGTAACTGGATTTTCAGTGTGACCACATGATATACGTCTTGCAGCATGTCTGCTACTGTAGCATCAGGGGCATCTGTCACATAGGAGAGTGGAACTGGATTCCACTTCCCAACCTGGATAAGCCCTGCAGGATTGTAATTTTCAGAGGGGAGGGGGAGTGGGCAAGAAGGGCAGGAAAAATTGAAAGAAAGTGATTTACCTAATTCCTAGGGGCAAAAGAAATACCTGATTTTAACAAGATCACCACCTTTGTTTCTAACCTCTTAAATCTGGCAAAACAAAAGAGCACCCCCATCCCCTCCAAAAACCCCCACCCACACACCACCAAGGACAGGCCTTATCTATATTATGAAAGTATACAAATGCAATAAAGTAGAGATTTTTAAAATATGTATAGGAGTATATTTTCCTATGTTCTCATGAATTCAATAGGACATGATATAATAGTTAGCATTTCTCTTAATAAATTAGAAAGGATTTTGCAATGCAAGAATTGGGCACAAAAAAAATTACTTTGCAGTCTATAAAACCATCAGGAATAAAATAAAAGAAACAGAGCTGGATATTCAGTCATAAATGCAAGTTGACTCTCAACAGTCCATCTGCTCAAATATGCTTTACACTTCCTTGTGGATCCTCAGTGGAGCAGATTATTAAGGTCAATAAGCATACTAATGATTCAGTTGAAGTCTTTTTTCTTCTTAAAAAAAAAAAGAAAAAAAAAAGGAATTTACCTCCACATTCCCCACGAACAAAATGTGCACTAACTAAACGAAAACACATCAAGAAAAAAAAAATACAGACACAGAATCTGCAAGAAGTTTAAGAAGTAAAACCTGCATTGCATTCCTGAAAGAAATCCTGCCCCTCCCCCAAGACCCCACAAACAAACACAATTCATTGTACAATTTCATAATCTTATTTACCTTTTGCTTGGGCAGCAGAGCTGTGAGAATATCCAAGAGATAGCAATGCCATTTCAATCAGCTGGTTGAAAAGCATATCCTTCCTCACCAACACAAATTCTGCATGCTCCTCCTTAGAATCATACTCAATGGCATTTTCATAATGTTCCACTACACAGAAAACTGGAAGCATACTTCCTATTAAAAAAATTGAATTTAACATATTAAACCTGAGTTATAGTAGAGTAGGTGGGTCTATACAGAGTTATGTAAATAAAACCTGTACGAACAGGCAGAGGAGGCATCAAGAATCATCACAAATATTTGATCAACATATTCCCCGAGTCCTTTCCCCTCACCCTCCTCAAAATAAAGTTCTACAAAACATACATCTCCCTGAAAGGCAGAAATGCAAATTTATCTCTCTTGATCAGATACAGATTTAAAGAATTACCTTCTATAGAAATAACAGGGTTGACTGAAGAGAAGTTGATTCTCTCTGTCCTGCCTGATTTGTTGTGAGTAGCAGGCAGCATGAGAACCTAAATACATACTGCAGATGTCTTTACTGTAAGCCATTTTAGTACCAGCCACATAATTTTGTTTGTTAACGTTAAAACTTTCTTAGTCCTGCCAAAAATATTTAATTGCTTTCAACATCAACAACAAATCACCTTGTGTGTTATATATTCACTCTGAAAGAGTACACAAGGAAACAAGGCAAAAGTTAATACTAATTCATGCTTCATTCACTGAGTGCACTTGAGCACTACTTTCACTCGCATCTTTAAGGAACAAATCATGATTTCAATGCCGTTTTAAGAAGTGTACCTGCAGTTCAGGCTTATTTTTGTTGTTGTTGTTGTCTCCCGCACTTTATACCCCACAACGCTATTTTGGCATACCTGAAAGTTAATTACTGATTTCCAGTTTTGTAGCATCATATGGCAAACCCTTCCATACACTGCACAGAATATTCAGCAAATAACCTTTTTTCTTTCCTTTTGCTTTTTTTTTTTAATGATTTTATTTTTTTCCTCCCTTTTGATGACAGAGAGGGAAGTAACAAACGACCCAAGCTGTTTTAGAGACAAAGTCTCTCCCAGCAGTCAGATTCCTGTACTTTATGAAAATCCGTCCCAGCCTCCCAGATGGACATGGCTGACACACTGACCCATGGTTTTAAGCTCCAATCCTGTTCTGCTGTCCCCAGCAGCACAAGTTAGGATCTCTTAATGACAGAAAGCAGAAGGGTTAAAAAGAGATGTACAGAACTGTCTTATGGCAGCCTGCCAGAGGGGTATCATCTTTAGCATAAATGATGACAAGGGTTATTTTAACAGGGCACCCAGGAACTCCAATTAGTCCTACAATGTTAATGCCTCTATAACCACTGCCCTCTAGACTTACAGAAACCTCCTAACCTGCTAAGGTGCACCAGACATGCTGCAGTTTAAAAGGAAGCTTCACTCTTGACAATAGAGTAAGACCACATCTGCTGATTTGTGCTCTAATGTATAGTAAGAAATCATGATAAAAAAGATACCTCTTAAGCACGTATATTTAAACTACATCTGTTCACCAGAGAGCCAATCTCTGGCAAACAAACCCCTTCAGGCTTGCAAGGAAAAGCTCAAAAACTCACTCCAGTTTGCCCAATAGGCTCAGCATGAAAGACTGAAAGACAAGAGCAAAAGCTTGCCAATATTTATGTAGTGCAGGAAGGAGCTTTTTTTTTTTTTTTGTTTTTTTTTTTTTTTTGGTAATCTGAGTGAGACTGGCCAGGAAGGGAGAGAAGACCAAAGCAAAAGCAGTATATGCAAAGCAGTGTTTACTTCACTGGTTTTAAATAAGCTGTGGACACACACGATTCATCTGCAAAAAGGTGGTTGTTTGTTTTTTGGTTTTTTTTCTCCCTTCCAGGCTCTCACAATTGATGTTTCACCTACTACGATCTGATTCAGAGTAAGGGCTCAAAATTCTTAAGTAGTTTCAGCAGTAATTCCTGAATATAAAGTGCAAGCAAAGCTTCATTCTAACAAACAGTGCAGATACATCCCAAATCAGCTAAAACATATTTGCTATTCCCCTTATCAGCTCCTACAAATTAAGCTACGATCAGACACAACACACAGGTACTTTGCTGCTTACCAGCACCCTTTATGCCAGGTACATGGTTTTCTCAGTTGCAGCATTTTGGGAAATGTCGTACTTTAAACAACACAGGAGAGCCTCCTGGCCAAATTTTGAGGCACAGCATAGATTAACAGAGGTGGATCCCGGTAGTGCGACACAGGTATCATCTGACTACAAATCAAGCCACTAAATCTTTTAGCAAACTGTCACTAGTGTCCTTCTGTTAATGTGAAAAATGTTATACAGGAGAGCACAATCTCAGCTGGCTGATCACTCCTGCTAGTACTTGGCAAGACCTCCAAGTGCCGCAACTTCATAACCTTCTAGTATTAAAGGGGAGAGCATTGGTCAGTGCTCCCTGCTAAAAATACAGCATGATTTAAACCTGAAGGCAGTGTTAGAGCTTTTGCTGAAGGTTTACGAGTCTGTGTAAACAGCACGTCTGCCATAAGGAGCAGTGAAGTCTGTAGAATCCTTGTCTAAAACTGTCCTGGCATTAAAGTTTGCTGTGCAAATATCACATAATACCAGAGACAGCTGAAATCTCCTATTTAGGAATTTATGGAACTTATATGTTTGCAGGCGTCAGAAAGTCCTTTTTATACAGCTCCACTGCTTCACTGTACAATGTTAATGCACTCTGCTTGAAAAGCTGTAATAAATTATATTTTTAATGCTCTTACCCTGGCTTTCTTAAGATGCATACATTCTTGGCAAACAATCAATAAATAGGGTAATCATGAGCAGAGGCCAAAGAATTTGCTGAAGTGCTGTTTTTCCATTTTTAATAGATAAAGATCTAACAATACGGACTGCTGTGTCTGTTCATTTCAGGATCAATATATTCTTTGTTTTCGCCAAACCGAGGAAAAAATAAATGATTGTACGATAAATGTTATGCATCAGAAACAATGAAATTCCTCTGCCTTCTAACTTTGTGCATTTAATAGTCTTGGTTGCATTTTGCACTTTGCTTAGCAAATACAAGAAAAATCTGGATTATAAACATAACTGATTATACTAGGAAAAGTAGAGGCTGTTTTAAGATGTATGCCAAATTACATGCAGCATATTTTTATTTAAATTAGCAAGCCTGCAGGACATGGTCAAAAAGACTTAAAAATTTTGATAAGTAAAATTTGTATATTATTGTCCATTAGAAGTATTTTCAATGCAAACAAAAGCCATCCATATACAAACATCAGTGATTCTAAATGTGCCTTTTCCTTGTGTAAATGTCTAATTACAGCAAACCAGCCACTGAAAAATATGACACCCAAGTTGTTCATTGTTCAATAATGAATTGTACTTAAGAAAATAAACTGCGAAGATTGACATCATAAATGACTTTTCCAATGTGATACCTAAAGATTTACACTCTCTCCTTTAAACCAACTTGCAACTGCTATGGAAATTCTGCTGCGCTTCCAATCTTAGGACCATCATTAGGAAGAAAAGCGAGACTTTGTTTTGGGGGTTCAGTATTTACTTTTACGTATTTTTGCATTTCTTCGCCCAGCGCTTACTCAAAGAATTAATGCACCAAATTACTTATATTGCAATGTAAGAATTTTCTTTAATCAGAGCAGCTAGCCTTTACCTTAACAAAAATCAGACTCCACCCTGAAAAGCAAGATGCTCCACCCAAGAATGAACCTTACATTTCCCAAATGTGATTTATATCAGAATTGGGAATATATAGTATTTTAGAATGGAGATTTTAATCCTGAAATATAAATGAAGTAGAGTCTACAAAAGTATGCTTCCCCCCCAAATATTATAAACCATATTTCTCTAATGCAGAATTATCAAAAGTGTTACCTTTTCTAATATTAGTTTTCATCAGGTGTCCAGAGTGTTTTAAAGGCACTCCTTGCATTTTAGTTCCTGTACTTCCAAGTCTTCCTCTTCCTAATGGGCTCCCATTCTGTTCCAAGCGCGCAATTTTGGCTGGTGGACCCTTCGGATCGCTTACATTGTTAGACATTTCTGAATGTTCTTTCCCCTGAGTTGCCTCGTTCAAATGATCCATACTCAGTCCCGCCTCTAAAGATCACCTGCCATGATTAAAAAAAAATATATATGTTGTACACGTGTGCGCATATGTATACGCACACAGCCTGCACATGTACAGAGACAGATATATATGTATCATAAGCTCATAAAGAAGAACAGATAACTATTTTAACTAGAAAGAAATGTCTTTTCTTAAAAAAACAAAGTTATTCTTCAAAAATTACCTCATACCCCAGTTTGCAGAGAGATTGTATCATAATCTACTGGAATGGTTTTCTTAAAAGCCAACCAGAGTACCTCTTAAAAAAAATTAAAATAAAAAAAATCTTTGGAGATATTCTACTAAAACTGAGAGAGTCTAAAACTCATGTAAGTGATGATGATTGTCAAGGTGTGTGCTCCAAGACAGCTATTGTTACAAATCTCACAGAAAGGTTTGTTATTAATCGCGGATGTTTTTATTGTGGAGAGAGAAAGATTCCAATGAAAAATTTCTTTATCTCTTTGATTATAAAATGGAAGAACAACATTAGAGAGCTCGTTAAAACTTTGGTTAAAGGAGCAACAGATTTATTAGAGATGTGGACTATTGTCCCTTTACAATTCCTCTCCCCCTTAAAAATGTAAGTTAGAAAAGAATTTGACATTTAACTTCAGAAAGCAGTGGCGGGAGATGGTTGCTTTTGAGTTTCCTAACCAATATTATACAGAGTTTATCAACTTTTGCAAGGTTCAAAATATGCAATTTTTCAGATATTAAGCCTCAAGTGTTAAACAGAGTAGTTTATTCAATTAAGATAAATAACTGCATAGTTTCTCACCAAACACAAAGCTGGGGAAAAATCCTCCACAATTTCTACAGTAATTATGACACTCTTAAATATAAAAAACCCCCAAAGATCTGGGTGATGCTGACATACCTATTTGAAACCAAAAAACCAGAATTTCAATAGCAAATTAAGAAAAGGTATATATATGCATGCTTGTACTCCCCTTTTTATAAACTTTTGAAACCTCTGTCCATGCATAACAATTACAGTTAAATCACAAAATCTCTCAAGCCTACGACATAACAGAGAAAGTTCTAAAGACTTTTGCCACTCATCAGAAACTGTTTTGCCAACTATATTAAAAAACCTTGCTGAGAGCAAAGGCATCTTTCTGGTTATGATTTCACTAATCAATACTGTTGTGATTGTTAGGTATTTTACCTACCTTGCCCTGACAAGGAAAGGTATAACTATACAGACAATTATGTTATATATATATATATATATACAAAAATAATATAAGCACTAAGGACAGGTCGACAGACATTAATCTTTGAACTAGTATTTACATTAGCAAATACAAATACTAATACTGGGGAAGTCATATTTAGAAAGACTGGTGTGAATCGGATAATTGCTACTTTCAGTTGCCTAGTAATTCAATATATTTTTTGCACATTTCATAGCGAAATTATTAGAGCCTAAATATTTTGGAATCTTTATATATATACACTTCTATATCACTAGTGTACATGCCAATGACAATTTTGTAGAATATTTTTTTCTTGTTTGAACATCACGCTGTTTTTCCTGATACGGTGAAGACAGAGGCAATGTATTAGTTCGAACCTTTACAAGCAATCTCAAGAATGCAACCAAATAGATGAAGTTCAGACAATCATTATTTTTCCCTATGCTATTAGGTGACAGGCTAGGGTTCACCATTCATCTTTATCTCATCTGTTTTAGGTCATGCATCTCATTAACAGTAAACATGCCTATTTTAGTCACTTTTCAAAAAGAATTTTTTTAACTGTGCTAAGTGTAACCTAAGCAAAGAATTACAGACTCAAACTGTTAACATCTTCCGATGTTTCTAACAATGCTAACATACCATAGGGCTGCTATTCTGAGACTGGTCTATCTCAAGAAAAAGAGGATTAACCAAAAAAAAAAAAA